AGACAGCTTCAGATCGATTTCTAACATCTGCAACAGTACAGTCTATCTCAACAATTACTGGATGGATTGCTGCAGAATTTTATACATTCAAAGTTCCCAGGGGATTAATCCTTCTGACTGTAATGATGTCCAGATTGGACAGTAATAACATGCTTTTCATGTATTTTCTCACCAGATGAACCAAATCTGTGTTAATACAGTTAACATTGTTGAGTTATGGGTTGCTGTAATCATCCTCCCCATCCATCTTACCCTAAAATGATCTCTTCCAAGTGTGACTACAACATAAACATTTGGGGGAGGGAATGTAATCTTGTTTTTCTGTGTTCTCTTGAGGATTTCTTGAGGTAATATGAGTCTTCAACAATTCGAGTTACTTTTTAGTATGAAATTCATTCTAATACCACTTTTTACTAAGTCTTATGTAAAGATAGGCTTCTTACCCTGACATCTGAAAATCTGAACCTGTCCTCCAGGTAACTTGAGTAAGAAAGTGGAACATTTCTTTTTCTCTTATACTTAAATAATTTTTGTCTCATAATCTAAAACACTACAGGAATGAATTACCACCTTGTGAATATTTGCCTCTGCCAAATAGTCAAGTTCACAGAAATGGATGGACATGAAGACACAGCAAGCTTGACCTTAGATCACAATCTAATCAGTTCATCCCTGCGCCCAAGTGGATGCTTGTGCCAAATTTGAACAAATTCCCTCAAGACGTTCTTGAGATATCGAGTTCATGAAAAATGGACAGACGAATAGACAGACGACCTCAAAACATAATGCCTCCAGCCACAGCTGTCGCCAGGGAGGCATAAACAAATTACTGCAAAGGTCTGCACTTTCAAATTGCCTATCTACTCTGCCTATGAAATGTCAAAGGTTTTTATTTCATGACATAATGTCTCTTCACTGACATCTTCTATGATCAACCTCATCCCCTAGTCATCATCTTGTGAAACCACATCATTAACTGTAGTTTGGCATTGGACATGACTATCACTTAACAGACTGACGTTTAGCTTTATGTTTTGGTCTTGATTTCAGTCTGATATCAGATGACTGGTTAGATATTTCCTGCTGGTGATTTCATCTGTGAAGACACTAGAGACCCATTAGTCTGGCCAGGGGCTGAGAGAGGCAGGAAACTGAGGTGTTTGAAAGAATTACAGCTTGTAGAAAGTGATAAAAAACATGGCAAGGGACTCTAACGGAAGTATTAACAGACACCCAGAATAATTTGTATGGACAGGTTCATCCTGTTTCAGGTGGTGTTGTCCCCATGGTCACTGTGTTAAAATAGAAAGCTTATGTAATGTGTTTGCTTCATTTACACACAGCTGGGTGAATATCACTTCAGCATCAACATCAAAATGTACATGTGTTCAGTAGTCGAGCTGCAGTCGGCTAGTAAGCTGCTAGTCCAAGCCAGTTTGTTTGTTTTTGTGCACAAATGTAAGTATTTTACAAATATTTGTTTACTTCTCTGATTTGAACAGCTTTAATTGCTTGGTAATCCATTAACATAATCTAACATTATCATACTGTTTTTGCTAAACATATACTGTAAGCCACGAGCATGGCTGTAGACTTGTTTCTGTCTTACTGTGTACACTATTTAGATTATAAAAAAAGTTTTTTTTACATAATTAAAGCTGCAAAAATAAAAGCTTGTCAACATAAAATTTTAAATTTGAAAAATCAGTGTGTACCTTTTGCAAAAGAAAATAAAATAGGAAAATGTTTTCCTCTAACTTTTGGCCCTACAAATACCTCCAACTAAATGTTGTTTAATAGATTATTTGTTTAAAAATAAACCTAACACGCTCAAGTCCTTGAACTTGGTGGTGTTTCAGCAGGGCCCCATTCCACTGTATGAAAGTAAATCAGGGAGTAACACTGACATTATATTAACGTCATGATATGAAACTAAATGCAGTAATGCAGTATCACCATGTGTCATCATCTTTCCTGGCCTTAAAGGGTGCACCACAGTTAAATGGTTCAAGTTTGTCATTTGACTTCTCTAAGTAAAAAGGAAATGGGCATCATATCTATGACCCACACATACTTTAAACAAAATATTATCTGATAGCACAAATATCACTTGATAAAATCGAGTTTCACGTAAACATTTCATACTATTTGGCTATTAACCAGCTCTCCTTGAGTGAGTGACTGCAGTGACAACTCTAGCTTGCTAACAGCCCTATTATTAACTAGTACATAAACAAATTCCCAAACAAATACACACCAGCACACCCCTGGGATATATTTACGTGACCGATGCACTGTATGCCATGTGGCTAGGTGCCATTTTGGCACCTTTGTCTCCATGCTAGGGTGAGCAGGTTTTGTAAGTTGACACCTTCTTCTTCATATAACATGTCATGTGGAGGAGGTTTATATGCATGTTTGTGGATATCAGTTCCAGTCTGTTAACGCCAGTCTGGCAGCAGACAGTAACACAAGCCCAAAAGGAGCTGATACAGTGTGTAAATTAAACTGGTTCCCTTGTACCTCTTTTTTGCCCCCTTAGATTGCTGTCTCTGTACCTTTTTGGGGTTTGTTTTAACTTGTTTTGTTTCCCATGTGATGTTTTACCTAATGATGTAAAAGCTTTTGCTGTGTTTACCATGAGAGTATTACTGTAAGTAGTGAAGAGGCAGCATAGCTGCAATCAGACAGCTGGTTGTAAAAGGCTGACATCTAACCTTGCTACCATGCAGCTAGGATCAGGGGGCTTTGGAGCCACACCACCCTCTGTAAATGGGTGGGCTAACAGCAGCTTTTGGCCCAATAGGGTCCTGTGAACGTCGGTGCCAAGACCACTTTAAATGTGCAGACCATAATCCCCTTCTGACATTAATATTTTCAGATGAAGGTAAGCAGGGAGTGCGGTGGGGGTGGCAATATAAGCAAAGTCTTTTTGCCTGGCCTTGTTTCATGCTGCCAGTGGTGATTGACACTAAAGCCATTACTCATGGTGCAGGCATGTCCAGAATGTATTCTTAGTTGTTGTCTTCCTATCAGTCACTACAGATGGGTTGGAGGGTCAAAAAATAAAGAGGTAACCAGTCTGCAGAGCTGTCTGCTCCACCGCTGTTTACCAGGGAGGGGGTGATATTTTAAACCTGGAAGAGCTCACATATTTACCCCACTGAGCCTCACTGACCTTGCCATTTGTTGGGGTGAAGACGCTGGAGACCACTGGTAGCTGAGACAAGAGGCACAGAAGAGAGACACTCTTAACTGCTTGACAAACAAGTAGAGCTTGCAACTTTTCCACTTTATGAAAGAGTTCCTAGAAGAAGACGAAGGGTATCAAGACAAAAGAAGACTGAATTAAGTAGAGGGTTTGAGGATAAAGGCAAGAATAGAGGAGAAGACACTTGGGGGAGGTGTGTGGAAGCCAGGCTGAGCTGACTTTTACCCCAGAGGAGGAGTTGCAGTTGCCGGCCAGGGCAGGACCCAGGGCTGGCAGGGCTGGCCCTTCTGCTTCTCCACCTCCATTCCTTCCTCCTCTCTTACTCCTCCCTTTAACCATCAAACAAACTGCTGTGCAGTTATGAATGTGCATGCAAAGCCCATGAGCAACACAGGAATCCGTAGAAATTCCTGCCAATTAAACAACTTGGCCTCAAATGAAGGGAAACTCCAGAGGTTAAGCCTTCCATAAGAGGACCTCCACTGCAGCATAGACTGTCACTGTTTTGTTTTCTCATCCATTATTTTTGTTGCACTCGCTGGTTGAGTGCACGGAGTGGCCGAGGGATCTTTTGTACACTTATTTTTCTCTATTTTTGCTTTTGTAAACCGTAACAGTGGCAACATTTTCAGTAGCACGGTGCAAGGGCCAGCTCCACTCACCCAAGATGAGCCGCTGGCTGAAATGCACCTCCATGCACTTTGTAGGTATTTCTTGGTTGTACTTTCATTTTCTCACTAAATATATTATTGTGGTTGCTGTTTCTTCTCTTCTTATGCTTATGAATTACCTGAAACCTGTGCTTTATCAAAGTAGTAATCAGTGAAGGAACTCTTTTTCAGCCAAATAGCGCAGTTGTCGTGGATGGATCAGTTTGGTGGCTCATTAATTTTGTCATAGCTGCAGTATTTTGTACATATTGTCAGTGATGTATGCATGCTATGAGTACAGAATTTCAGTACCCTCCTGTGTAGCACATACACATTACTTGCATTTGAATCTTAGTTAAGGTTATAATTTGAAGCTTGCTATTGTTGCCTGTTAATTTTTGGCCACAAGCATAAAGCATCCCACTTAAATGTGCTTCCCAGAAGACTTGAGTGTTCTGTTCCCATGCTTTGTAGCCATCGCTCACTACGGGATTTAGTGAAACTGCAGTACAGCACATTCTTGGCACAATCTGCATTAACTTAATTCTATTAATGTACTACGAAGGGAACATTACATTTCCATTATGTGTGTTTTTGTGTCAGAAATGGCCTTTGTGCTTGTCAATGTTGCATTTATTAGGAAACCAAACACATTATAGGCATCACATTCTACTGTGAAAACATGTATGAATTTGGTAAAATATTTAATTGTTTGGTTTGGGAAATACTGTCAAACATACTTTTTGCCTGATAGTTCACCATTATTGTCAGAACACAGATTGGAACAAGTATGATGATCGGCTGATGAAGGCAGTGGAACGTGGCGAAGTGGACAAGGTTGCAGCTGTTCTCAGCAAGAAGGGTGTCATCCCTACTAAGCTTGATGTGGAAGGCCGTTCTGCGTGAGTACACTTGTGCATACACACATACTGGTCTTATTGTAGTAGTGAAAACATGCCTTAGCCTTTCCCTAATCTTAACACAAATAAATGTCCATTCTCATTCTAATTCAAAACTTAATCTTAAAACTAAGTCTTGATTCCTCAAACAGCTCTTCGAAGTATTTGAAGTAGAGATGCAACAATTTCAATTTTTGGCTGATTCTGATTTTTTTTCTGTCTAAGAACAGTAATTGACAGTATATGCAAGCATTTTTGTAACTTATCTTTAATAAAAAATTTTATTGTAATAAAAATAAAACACTATTAAAGTTTTACATTTCCATCTTTCTTTGTTTTATTTTTTATAAATCTCTATTTAAAAATGAAGTGCAATATGTATACTTATCCAAATATAAACAGGTGCAACAGGTAACAGAAACAGAAGAATGTCTGTTACATCAGTTCTACTGAGCACAATTATTTTTGAATTGTGTGTAGTTTGTATTTCCCATTTTACCACATGTACATATGCATGCATTTCATGTGTAGCCAGTAATTTCTTCATTGTGTACTATTTATTGGCAATTTGGATGTAGTTTTCCATTCTCCAAGTTGTTTCTGTGGGCTGCTCTGTGTACTTTTTGTTCCCCAGGGGCTTCCAACACATGAGTGAACACATGACCGGTACAATTATGAGAGGGAATCTTGCTCGAGGTGCAAGTGAGATGCTACGTCCTGCACAGGCTACTCTTTTGGTCTTGTTCCACTGTGTGCTTGACGTGAACTGTCGTGCCTCTAAATCTGATCGGCACAAAATCAGAAAACTTGAACGATTGGCTGGTCACCGGTCAAGGCCGCCAAATTTCCGATTAATCAGTCTATCTCTACTTTCAAGCTGTGCCAAAAAACCCTCACAGCAGTGGTATCAAACTAAAATATGTCCACACAACCACAAAAAGACATGCACCTATACAGAAACGCACACACACATACACACACACACCCATGTCCTGTGTGTAGATAACCAAAGATGTGTCAAGATGTGAATCTCCCCACACTTTCAAACAAAATATTAGGTTTGACCGGAGCATGGACAGAATGTACATTTGTTTGTTTACACTTATGTTGGTTTTCTCTTGACTGATAGTACCTACCATGCATTCTTGAATATGTGCAAATCTAAAAATGTTGAGCATCACAAATTCCAAACATTGCAGTGGTCTTCCTACCACGCATTCCTGACCCTGTTTCCCAGATAAACCAATTAGGTCATGTTTACTCAAAGATAGTTTTACCCCTTAAGTCTGTCAAAAAAAAACAGTCCTGCCCTCTCCAAAATGTCCCTGTGGCTAGGATGACCCAGTCGTACAGTTCAGCCTTAAACAGTCACCCAGCTGGCTTGCGTATGAAAGCTGTTACAGTTGCGTGCTAATATGTGCTCATTTTTATATCCATAAATTTCCCTTTTAGTGTCTGTCTGACTAAAGGTCAGTGTGGGAGTTGGTAAAAAGAATGTTTGTGGCCACTAAAGTCTTGACCACACTGGCCAGAGGCTGTTTATGTAGTCCCCACAGGAAATTACTCCCTGCAAATTCAGGTCACATCCACTGTGACACTTGGAAAACCAAGTAATACATTTATAATCCACTCTCAGGATCTGCTAACATGCTGAAGAACCATGTTTTATATGGTAAAATGTTTCATTGTGAGCTTACACCGTTCACAAGGTTTCATTAGAATAACCGGTTGAACAAGAAAGATAGAGTAAGAAGAAATGCAAAATGTGGGAAAAAAAGAAGGCCAACCTAACTGAAATATGAGCAAGAAATTCTGTTGCATCTTGACCATCCAGTACCACAGATATTCCAGGTATAAACCTTTATTTTGGTCCTATTAATTATACCAATGGCCCAGTCTTGGAAAACAATGCATTGAGCTGTTTGAAAAAGCGAGTACTTTTGTTTTCTTCCTAAATTTGACGTATAATTGTATACATACATGCATGCATGCAAATAAACTGAATAATACACAACCTGTTAAATGCTCTGTCTCATACGAAGAGGCTATAATTTGTCAGCTCTGAATTCAGAACCATGGCTGCCAAGTTTGCAGTGACAGACTGTATAGGTTGACTCACTGATGGCTAACTGATTACTTGCATATCATTTGGTGTCCCTCAAAAGGGGTGACAGACCTAAACTTGGTAACTATAAAATCAATACAACATCTTAACTGATATTTATGGGGAAAAAGGTCATGGTTTTGCCAAGTCTGCCTAAAACAAGTGAACCACAACTGTAACTCAGCAGGTCTGCTTATAGCTCGGTGGGCCACAGACAGCACACGTGTCTATGGCATTCTGGCCTCTGCAAAAGGAATGTTAAATGGCAATCCCTTGTAATCATGGACCTCTGTGGGGAAACAAATTACAAACTGTTACACCCCCGCCCCAATTTATAATTTGGTGTGCCCTGGATTGGCCTTACACTGTTCACTTAATGAATTCCGCTCTAACTGTAGTATCATGGTTTCCAGCTGAGTAAACAGTTTATATCTCTGCTGTGGTATTAGCTGGCTCCCAGTGAGGTAAGCCCACCTATCACACCTGTTCCAGCAGTTGCGCAGTTAGCTAGCTGGTGAGCGCTTAGAAGCAAAAGAGGTCCACATTACAGCACACCACTTGAGACGGTCACTCGGCACTGGAACATGAAAACTGGCACTGACTGCAGATACTGCTGCCTGCCCATTGTCAGGATTAACAATAATGAATTTTGTGCTCAAGTGTCTTTTAAAAATAACAATAGCAATAACATCTTAAAAAATGTGCAGCAATGATTAAGACTGACAGAAATAATCAAAAGGCTGAATAAACATTTCAACTTGTTCATAGTGGTGAAAAAAGAAATGCGTTTTTATGAAAAACCTGATTTAAAAACTGGGTTAGAATCCAGTTTATATGTCAAGTGTGAGCTTTACACACAGTACAGTCAAGCTGTCATGCAGCATACACACGTATTCATCAGTATTAGAACAACAAAGTATTTGAAGCATCAGCCTTCACAGTGTTTTGTCTGTTGTGCCTTTAGAGACTCGCGTTATCATATGTGGTTCAGCTACCAATATATACTCTCTTGTTTGCTCCTCCAAAAATAGCAGCTGTATCCTGTAGACTATCTACCTGAAAGCTGCCCAAGCAGCAGATGTGAATATGAAATGACTAAATGTGTTCTCTTAAAGCCAGAACCATTAGCCTCCCACAGTTGTGGTTGATCTGTTGCATGTAGTCCTAATGTTGTTGCAAGTACATGATTTTCAAATAAAACATTCCTGGTTCCTTACTTATCACAAAGATGTCATGAAATCTAACTAACCCATTACCTTGTTTGCAATATTTGCAATTTTTGACTCTGCTCATTTCTTCAGTTACCTTCTGGAAAGTGCAGTGGCTCATGTACTTGACAAATCTCATCAATCATATCCCCCTAACTTGGATAACTCTGGTCTGCTTCCTGTCTGCTGTTTGCCCCAAGAGGTCACAACCCTCCACAGCTCCCCAGAGAGCTAGCATCTCCTGGCCATCAACACTGCTTTTAATACCCATGCCAGTGTTGAGGTGACAGCCTAGCTGTCTCCTTGGCAGATACCTCAGCATTAGCGTATAAACGGTTTCATGTGGCTTGATGGGTGACAGACTGAGATAGGTTTACACACAAATGCTATGTAGACCACCATGGCTACTGGCGGCAGTGCTGCCGTAGGTTAAATCTGGGACAGGGGCACAAATGTTTCTTGTCAAAAGTGATGATTAAATACATTTCACAAACACATGCAGTCAGAAACTGGTTAATTGGATATGCAGTTAACAAGGCAATATGCAGACTCTGTGGTAATTAAACATGAATAATGGCTTTACCACAAAAGATGCAATTCAAGGTTCATTAGGTAGCTGTTCTGGTGCTTTCATTTGTATAACGTACTCCTTATTAGCAGATTGCATTTATCCAGTTGTCAGAGGAATGTAGATACTCAAATTAGTGTTTTTTTTTCTGAGCCTTTTTATTTTCAGTGTTGTGTAATAGTAAGAGAATTCTTAAACTCTTAGCCATATCAACATGAGTATTCAGTCTGAATAGGGCTGAGATAGTGCCCTCACAGAAATTAAAAAAATAACAGAAAAGTCAAGTGTTTTTATTTACTTTGAGAAGAATGCTGATCTTACTGTTGGCCAGAAGCCAGGCATCTGTTTGCAGTCCCTCTCTTGTCCTTAAGTTTCACCCTCACCCCTCTTCTTTTCACACCCTGTCACGTTTTTAGCTACTTTTCTGTGCTGTCTGCTCTTTGCCATGTCCCTCTGCCTCATACCATCTGTCTTAAATCTCTTACATTATCTTCCTTTCCTTGTTTTTTTTTTTTTTGTTGTTCCTCAGGTTTCATTTGGCTGCAACACGAGGACACCTAGACTGTCTCAATCTCCTCCTGGGGCACAATGTTGATGTCACTGCGGCTGATGCCACTGGTGAGTTTGGGCTGGGTGAAAGCAGTACCTTGGAGCCTATTTGTATGCTTTGGTGTGTCTCTAATATGTTGTCCATCTCCATTATGTCAGTAAGGATAGACTGTTAGATATTTTAAATGAGTTTGCTGCAAAAAAGCAATTTCAACAAAAAGAATCAATGCAAAAATAGAATCTTTTAATTCATACTCCACCCTTTCAGGTATAATAATGGGAACGTACTCAAATATGTATTTGTTCTAACATGGTAGGGCTCCCCAGCAAACTGAACTGGATATGAAATCTGGTGAGGATGCAAATATTTGTCATTGGATTAATGAATCCTACTAGTTGGTCAGGGCACTACTAAGAAATATTGTCACACTGCAGAGAGATGGGCCAAAGCTGGGGAGAATAAATGTCCTGATTTGTACACAACCAGTAAAAAGTTTGGACCCACTTACCCACTGAATTGAATGGGAAGGTGCTTCCATACCCATTGACTGGTAGTGCGTATAAAACTGGGCTTGACGTAAAATCAGGTACACATATGAAATGTCATAATCTGTGTGATATTGGTGTATTTTGTAATTGTTTTGGTGATTTGTTGTAACTGATGAAATCATCTACTCTAATAACATAAATCTTTGTTCTAATAACATAATTTTATCCCAAGCTGCAACTTACTAATTGAGTCTTTATCGACTCATTACGATCAAAAGCTCAATGTCGTTGACTGACTATTTGATGTGTGGCCTGCAGTGGTACATGTACAGTAGGTGGTAATAGCAGAGTCACACATACAGTATAGTGATAATGTCACACTTCGGGATTTGGCTCTAAAAATACATGCATATAGATTGTGAATATATTTTGGTTTCTAATTGCTGCATTTATTGGTTTCAGGTAAAAATGCTCTTCACCTGGCCTCAAGAAATGGACATTTTCTGTGCGTGCAGAAACTCTTGCAGGTAAAGTGCAGTGGTCTTCCATTTTATTTTTACCTGACTGATATTAAATTAAGAAAATCCTACTGACATCAACATGTCTGTTGCAAAGGAGACCTGAGAACAAATTACATTTACACAAGATCACAACCAGTCACAAATATTATTAGAAATAGAAGATGGTAAAGTCTTAAAGTCTCTCAGAGAGAGAGAGTGCGCACTCGCATGTGTGTTTAACTTCAAGTTGCAGCCTATTCCAGTAGCAAGAGGAATAGTACTGGGAACCAGTTTTTCCCAGTTCAGAGTTGGCATGAGACATTTTTACAACCCGTCTCTCCTGAGATGTAGTGTCATGAACTCTGTACTTAACTAAGGACGTTAAATGTCTTGGCAGTCTTTAGTGCTTTTCCACCACAGGAACTAAACAAGCCGTAGCCTGGAGCTTCCCATACCTGTAAACAAGCCGAACTTGATTACGGGTATGTCGTTCATCTGCTTTTCCACTGTATTTTTCTCTGTGCCTGTCACAGTTTACAGTTTGTGCTTCTCACGCACAGAGCTGAGTTAATCATGCTTGCAACAAAATCAGCCAGTAACGGCGACTGTGTGAGCAGTTTATCAAATAGCTGTTGAACAAGTTCCTGGAACTTGATTTGGTACCTTAATACCTAATCCAAAGTGGGTAGAGGACAGTGGAATCTGTAACAAGGTCGGTAAGATCCTAAAGTGGCCTATTAGATAGCAAGGCCACGTAGATGAAGACGCAGGTATGCTGATGTCTTCTGGATGGCAGTGATGATCAGGCGCCCTTTTTGTATAGCTCACAGTGATGAGTGCAGTAGTGATCTTATGTAATGAAGCAAATGGCACTGTGGTAGACAGCAGTAGTTGTAAGAGAGGTGGCAGCAACATGACCATACAGCACATATCCATTATCCAGTATAGTAGACTGTATCATGTTTTTGTGTTTTTTTTTAAGGGAGAAACGAGCTTTATTACAGTATAAGAATCCAATTTGAAAGTTTTATTATTGACCTAGATGTTTGACAAGAGCTTTATGAACTGCTGTCTAACCAAATTCCTAAGTATTTATAATGCACACATTTTGTCTTTTTGGAGTTAAAAATAAGCTGTAGATAAAACCTGGTCTGCAGGTCATTGAAAGCAGACTGTACCCTAGAGACAGCCTGGTTTGTGGTGGTGCCAGCGGTAATATGGGCAGCATTAAAATGGTTGACTCACCAATATTAGGTAGTTCTTTGCATTTTAGGTCTGTGTGCAGTTTTTTGTCATTTTGTTTTTGTTTTTTTGCTCATGGTGTTGTGTTGCATATTTATACATACTACTGGATGTCCCACAGAGCACCTTCTCAGCCACTGGCAGTCAAAGCAGCGTCCCTTTCAGCTCCTTTAAATAATTTTTGCCAAACAGCTCTGGCAGCTGAGTCCAGTTTGTGTCAGTCAACAGTAGGCCCTGTTGAGTCACCGTGCCCACTCGAGGATTTATGTGTTTACAATGAGGGGGATAACCCTGCAGTATTGTGGTCTAATAGTACTGTAGCCCTCCCCCTGCCCCTATCTCACACATGGCAGTAATCTAACAGAGGTTGCAGCTGTTGGTAGGGGGCCGTCAGTGGTGTTGATAAGCCTTCCCCACTGCAAACCTGGCGTCCGTTCTTGGTGCCGTCATCACACCAGACATAGCAGCTGGACACCAGCACTATCTTCCTCATCAGCTCAAACCCTCAAGGTACACGATATCCCCCCACTATGCTCAACCATCAGCTCCCATTGCCACTCTGCCTCCCCAGCTCCCATCCCCCTTCACTGTGTCATTTGAGCATGCTGCTAATTTTTGGCCCTTGTTGCTAGAGAGACTTGGGTTTTTATAGTGAGGGGCCAGAGCTCAGTGACAAGCTTACCCAGCAACATCAGACCCCTGTTGACTTTAAGTCCTCAAGGCTTTCATCACAGGCCCTCATCAGCACAGTGCTATAGTCACCAGTGTCCAACCAGCTGACCGACTGTGTAGAGATGTCAGAGCATTTCAGCACAGCACCATTTAGCCTAATATGACTTGCCTGCTGTTGTCTTTCAGGTTCCACTGCCAACCAGTGGAAATAAATGATTTTGAGACATTTTATTACATAACTTTAATAATGAAACATAATGAAGCCATTCATTTAAAATAACTAACTACTTACCACCAGAAGTAGATTTAAGGTAAGGTAACCAGTCGTCTTTTTTCTGCTGAAGTAAAAGCCGAACTGGAACATCCTTCTAAATTATGCTGTCTGTTCCGCATCAACTTGACTGTTTTGTTACGTTTTAGTTCTTTTGGCTTTGAATTATTAGTGAAAATCCAAGCTCAGGTCAAAAACTGACTTCCTTTTTCACTTAAAAAAAAAAAAAAAAAAAAAAAGTGAATAATTTTGAAATATTTGACCCATTGAGTTAGCTACCTAGGCTAAAATCCAGAGCGGTAACGATTAGCACTGTTTGTTAGTGACTTAACAGCATCATATTAAGCAACTTCATTATTTTATTGGATTGCAGAAATTGAGATTGATGCCTTGAATGATTAGTGCTTTGAATGATGGCACTGTGCTGTCACACATGGTCAATAAATTACTAATTTTCTTTAAACACTAGGCCATCATCATCTTTGCTAAAATCTCACTAATTAATCATTTCTGAATGTTTTTTTTTTTATCATTTAAATTTTTAACTACTGTACTTAATGGTAGTGAGAAATGTTGTTGGAGAGAATTTTCTAAAGTGGGACTTGTAGTTTTGTACAAATATTGCACTTAATTATGTTACAGGTCTGTTTTTAGACTAGAGGGATTCAGTATCAGTATCAGTAAAATCATCTGAAGTCATTGAATCTTATTGTGCCAACCTGTATTTGTTTATTTTACAGCACAACTGTCCAGTTGGAAATGTGGACCTGCAAGGAAGAACAGCTCTACATGATGCTAGTAAGACTCTAGTACTTACTGACTCTGCTCTAGTACTGTTTGGACCCTACTCTCATTCTGATACTAGTCTGAGTCTAGTACTATCTCGATTCTAGTAGTGACTGACTGCCATAGTAGTGACTCTACATCACTCTACATACAATAGTATTGACTTGACTTCAGTACATACCAGTACTCTACTCTAAACTACTTTAAAACTGACTCTTTTCTACTTTCCTCTAGCACCAACTTTATTCTACTATAGTATAGTGTTGACTCTCCTTCAGTTCTTACTCTACTCTATTCTACTCCATTCTGTTCTTTTGGAAATAGCTATTTTTCATTGACTCAATAGTGCATCCACTACATTTACTGTACTTAAGTGCAGTTTTGAGATATCTGTACTTTACTTGAGTATTTACATTTTGTGCTACTTCATACTTTGACACGACATTTTAGAGGCAGTTGTTTTACTTTTTACTCCACTACATTTATTTTAGAACTTCACATGCCAGTTACTTTTCAGAACCAGATTAATACAAAATTACAGTATAATCATAAGGTTTTATTGAACTCTAGTGGAAAATTTACAAACTACCACATTAAATGTGATGTGCACAATGATGCCCCAGTAATATAATCCAATAACACGGTGTACATTCATGTTAAATGTGCCATTCTGCATAATGAGTACTTATATTTTTAGTAGTATGTTTTGATGCTAATACTGTTGCACTTTTACTTAAGTAACATTTAGAATGCAGGAATTTCATTTGGAACTATTTTTTATACCATTTTATTTCTACTTTTAGTTAAGTAAAAGGTCTGAGTACTTTTTCCAGCTCTGCTCACATGAATGTTAACATCTACCATACTAAACATGGTAAAAAAAATAAAAAAAATCCAATCTAATGATGGAAAAGGGGCTGTCTTATTTCAACGGTAGCATTTGTTTAGATAACTTATAAACCCAGGTCCATGCTACACTAGAGTTAAGTTGACATACATGTGCCTCTCATTTCTTCTTTTCCACAGTCATGGCAGGCTGCCCCTCCAGTGTGAAGCTTCTCTGTGACAGCGGGGCTTCTGTGAATGCCCCTGATTTTGTGAGAATTAATACTACACTTCATTTTACACAGTGTGTTGTAGTGGTCTCTTCCAAGATAATTTTTTTCTTGTGTCTGGTTATAATTGTAGAAAATCTTATCAATCTGATTACTTCTTAAATGCAGTTACTTTGACAGTGGCAGTCATTGGCATACCTGTACAGTCAGAGCCGTACAAAAGAATCATGTTTATTAAATCTTAATTTAGTCCATGTGAATGAGTGGATCACTCAAAGCCATTTTTGCTCTGAGGTGAGGGACAGAATGATTCTTTGGATTGGATCAGATGTTATACACCTGTGTGTTTTTTGTGGAGGAGTGCAGATGCATGTATTCATGTGTATGTGTTTGTTTTTTGTTTTTGTTTTGTTTTGTTTTCAGGATGGCAGGACACCTCTGGTGCTGGCAACCCAGATGTGTCATCCACAAATCTGTCAGCAGCTGCTGGAGCAAGGGGCTGATATCACCGTTCGGGACAAACAAAACAAGTAAGTAACATCACCCCTTATGGTGTTTGTCTTTGTTAGGGCTAAAAATATCACGTTTCTGGAGGTTAGATGGTGTAGCACTGAGTTATTTAGAATTAGTTGAACAAAATCCAGGGTGAAATGTTGTTTTTGCCTTATATTTAGTTGCACTATTTTTAGATAGCTAGAGTGTGCATGAACTGTCATTGTTGACCCCCTCAGGACAGTGCTGATTCTGGGCTGTGAGTTTGGCTGTAAGGATGCAGTGGAGGTGTTGTTGAAAAGCGGCGCTGATGTGAAGGCAGTTGATGGCTTGGGTCACGATGCATTTCACTACGCTCGCCTCAGCAAGAACACCGAGCTGGCTGTGATGATCAGAAGTTACCTTGACAAAGCCACCAGAGGTCAGACTGTAAAACATCTCTAGTGACTGAACATAAAAGAATCAATTGGCCATTTGTTTGGGATAAATACAGGGCAGTTTGATAGCAACAATGATTGACCAGACCAAAAAAGAGAAAGATGGTTTCTGAAATTTCACCTTGTGTCTGATACATGCAACTGTAGTAGGTGGTGCTGATAAATCCACTGCAAGCTGAGAATCTTAAACTTCACCTCACCAGTTGTTTTAAAAAGATCAAATACTGTACATACAGTTTTCAAAGGTGAAAGGTGCTGCTTTGCATTTAGTCTGTTAGCATTTCCACAATGTTGTCAATTTGCTATAGAACCTAGAATTATTTTCATCGCAGAATGTAAATATCATGCCTCCTAAATGTATGGGTTTGCGTTTGCTAACCAGTCAAGTCTTTATCAACACATATTTAGCCATAGTCTTGTTTACACAGTTATTTCCTTATTCCATATTTCTTTCATCTGTTTGTATTTGCTTGTGTCTTTCTTTTGTGATTCCTTTCCTTGAACATGTTTTTCAAGGAACACTGTTCAAATCTCAACAACATATGGGAAGAAAAGTTATATCTGAACTTGCTGTTTTCTGCTTTTTTTGCATATAAAGAAGCTGCAAGGATGGAACACTGGAAGCGACAGGTAATCCTGCAGCACTGAACTTATCCATTAAGCCTAACCCTTAGTGAGGAGCAGCCATTGTTCTCCACGCTGATTTAGAGGACCTTCATTGTACATGTAGCATAATGGAAATTGCAATTAAATGACATTTGTGTAGCCATTTTATTTCCACAGTCCCTCAAGAATCTGTGCACTCAGCCAGCTGTTGCACATTTCAAAAAATGTTTCTTAGTATAGTAATGGGTAAAACAACCTTCTCATCTTTCTGAACCTGCAAGGTACTCTCTGCTGCTCAATTGTACATGACTGCCATCTAGTGATCATTAGTGACAGGTGTTGCATTCGCTTTCTATGTCCATATATATATATAACCTCAAAACATGGTTGTAAGAACATTTTGTTTCATTCTCAGTATTCAGTGGAGAGATCAGAGGCAGCTGAGGCTAACAAAAGGGATCAGCTCATACATGTAAGTGTTGTTCAACTTCAGCCTCCCTAGTCCATACACACACATGTTAACTTTGCTTCATTACTACCCATAAGCAAAATTCATGGCTTTTAAAGAATGTTGGTGCATTCACATTTAAAACCATTAGAGACATCTGTATCCACCAAGTGATGGTGTTTTTCTTACAGTAACTGGGTTTTGATTAGTTTAAAGCACCTCTAGTCTATATTTTAAATCTATTCTTTAAAATAATATGGCCATGAAAGGTAAATGGTTTGCTTGTAGTGATGAACCTACAGAGAATTATAGCACGTTGCAACTCATTGTTTAGCTGCCCATTGTATACCTGTACTGTTTATTACACTCTCACCACTTTCATAGTGTACTTTTCAGCCACACAAGGCAGTTCTAAAAACCCACAGCACCAAACAGCAGATAGACAGAAAGTGACTGATAAACATAGTGTAGCATTTGGTAGCAGAGGCAGATAATCCCCTCAGGAGTTGGTTGAGACCTCAGTAGAGGAAAACCAGAGCTTTGTGAGTGAGCTTAATAATCAGCAAATGAAAAGAAGCACATCTCCATGAAAGCTAACATTGCTCTGTACTGGATGTGCACTGTAATTATATAATTGTTTGCCCTATCAAATTACAGTGATATGTCAGTGTTCAGAGTGCCCTCAGAAAACAGGTTCTGTAGGTTTAAGTTTGTTAACTGTACACTTTGTGTGCGCATGCGTTTTAGGACCTGGAGAGGCAGAACGAGAACTTGCAGGAAAGTCTAAGGAAGTACCACCAGGAACAAAGAGCCCTGTTAGATAAGGTCAACATGCTACAGCAACAGCTCACACAGGTAAACGGTACATCATCACAGCAAGAGCTATAGAGGTAATGCAACACAGTACAGTAAAGCTCTTCAAACAAACTGCTTCTTTACTGCTAGCTAAACTGTTTAAATGTCATAGAAAACAAGCCTTTTTCAGGAATCAAGTAATAGGTTAGCTTACATTTTTCCGCAGCATTGGAAGTAAATGAAGCCTTAACAGCTGATGCTAACAGTTCTTACAGGTGTTTCAACTTTTGCTAACGACTTGTTACTGTGTTACTACATCCTCTGAAGAATTATTTGGAAAAAGATGATTAACAGAGGAAGTCAGACCTGTTCACAGTTTCATCCTGTATAGCAGAGCAGTATAGTGCTCTTTTGACCTAATATCATAGTCTGTTTCTGTGAAGATAATTAATTGAATATGTAGCCTTAAATTTTCAAACAAGGGTGTTTGTTCCACAGGAGGTAGAGCAGATTAATGAATTTCTTTGAGAGATAATACACAGTGGGTACGGAAAGTATTCAGACCCCCTTAAATTTTTCCCTCTTTGTTATATTGCAGCCATATGCTAAAATCATTTAAGTTCATTTTTTTCCTCATTAATGTACACACAGCACCCCAGTCATAAGTATTCAGACCCTTTGTTCAGTATTTAGTAGAAGCAGCCTTTTGAGCTAATACAGCCATGAGTCTGTTTGGGAATGATGCAACAAGTTTTTCACACCTGCATTTGGGGATCCTGAATACTTATGACCATGTGATATTTCAGTTTTTCTTTTTTAATAAATCTGCAAAAATGTCAAACATTCTGTGTTTTTCTGTCAATATGGGGTGCTGTGTGTACATTAATGAGGAAAAAAATGAACTTAAATGATTTTAGCATATGGCTGCAATATAACAAAGAGTGAAAAATTTAAGGGGGTTAGAAGACACTCAAAAAGAGGTATGAAACAAATTATCTTGGACATGGTGGACCTTGTACATAATTTTCTCAGTAATTTTACTTCTTAAATTGATTTGTAAGAATCTTAAACTGCATCCACACTGTGCTCAAAGTGGTATTATACTGTACACTAAACCAAGTAAAGCTACATAATGATGGCAGTCATGAGTGCAGTGTGGAAACAGTCTGAAGTTATACATCTGGACCCTTAATATAGGAGCACATGAACGATTAGGAAAGTCTTACAAGGATATTGATGGAGTTTAAAAAAAGTGGGTTCCACTGTCTTGAATGTTGATGAAAAGAAAGACAAATAAGTGAAAACTATCAGTCCCACAAATGTCTGTGTTAATGTAAACAAGGTATGATGTGTTCTCTTATATGTTCTTGAGGCTGCTGTGTGATTAATGCGCACAGTGACATTTGGAAGACCAAAGCAAATATTTAACTGTTGCTTAACCTGCACAAAAGTATGAAGGCTGCAACTGAATATAAACTGCAAATTAAAGGTTACGTTTTTGTCAAAAATATAAAGTGAAATGATGGTATTGTGGTGTTGCCATCAAAGAACTACTCTCTCATTAAGCCTGCAGATCTAAAGTTGTCTTTGCCTTTGAGAAAAATATGATTTGTGAACATCTCCATGCATCCATGACTCTGCTCCCCTGAGAGCTCTGACATTAGTTATAATCCTCTTCCTTGCTATTCTGTATTTTCAGCACTTCAAAGGACAGTTTTGCTCCAAATGTCTTTAATAAGCCTCTGACACTGTTATAGCTTTTTAAACTATGTAGCAGTAGCAGGAGCGACAAAACGCATAGAGCACTGAATAATTTAGTAGATATCTGGTATAAATGTTTTAAAAGACCAAAACAATGTATAAAGTAAATTGATCTGTATAAAATCTAAATGTGTTTTTGAATAGTAAAGGTTTGCATTCCTTTTATAAGTGCTACAAAGATTTCCCTTCATTCACTTTTTATTATGCCTCTGCTCTGCTCCAGCAAAAGCTGCATCCGGAGGCATTATGTTTTCAGGTTCTCTGCTCATCCATATGCAAGTTGGTACGATTCTTCTGAACACGGTATCTCAGGAACACCTTGAGGGAATTCCTTCAAATTTGGCACAAATGTCCACTTGGACTCAAGAATGAATTAATTAGATTTTGGTGGTCAAAGGTGAAGGTCAGTGACCTCGCTTCTGTCCCATACCCATGAATTTGACTGGTCAGCAGAGGCATACACCCGCAAAGCAGTAACTCTAGTTTTTCGTCGGAACCCTTCTGGTTACTCTTGCTTCATTTGCGCTTTTACTTTCTTATTGTTGAATCATAAGGAGCAGGTGAGGGTGTCACTTAGTGCCAAGGAAAGAGAGGAAGGGACACGAGGCCCAGAGACTGTCAAGGTCCAGTTCCGGAGTATTTTGGTCAGTGACTATACATCATATTTCTACACTGAGGCTGTAATCTTCAGGGAAAACAGTGCAATTAATATTTTTAAATTTGTTTGCAGACTTTAATATATACAGCGCATTTGGTAATAAGTGGTTCTCAAGCTGTGATTTATATTTTGTTGCCCTGAGATTTCCTCATTCATACGTGAAGTCTCAGGTGAAGTTTTTCTTTAATATAACTGATACTTATTTGCCAGTTTATTAGGTACACCTAGCTAAAACAGTCTTGTCTTCATCTAGATGATAATATTGTTTTGGTTGAAATTGTTTTAGAGAAGCACTGATTCAACTTTATGATCATTTTGAAGGATGTAGTTTATGGTGGTGTTCTGTATAATGTCATACTGATGGGGTTTATATTGTTTTGCCCTCCCATTTTATATAAATGAGGATTGGTTTTGCTAATAAAATAGCAAGTCAGTGTATCTACTTTAAGAAAATACATAATAAATGAACATTACAGTATGCTAAAACATGCTACATAATGTTAAAATAGAGAATAGCTTTAGTTCCACCTTTTGTAATGACTATATGTATTTATATGCACTTACAGGGCGACTACTCTGGGCAGTCTGTAATCAAAGGTTAGCATTCTTCCATTTCTTGATTCATAAAGAAAGATTTGATGCCAGTATTTCAAACTTCACCAACAGAGTATGAGTGGATTTGGATGTTATGTTTGTGCACTGTTGTCTTGCAGGCAAAGAAAACATTTTGGTCAAACAAGCTTACAGCCTCGATTATGACCAGGTATTTATTTTTCTTTTCTTTTTTTTTTTAGCAGTAAGTTTTTTTTTTTATGACTTGCGAATGTCTAAAATACATTTTTAGTGCTTTAGTTTGTATCCAAGTAGTTTGTGTCAACAATTAGCAAAATAATTATGACTCTACCATCTGTGAGAATTGGTCTGTACTGACAAATTTAAAATTAAAAGGGAAGACATAAATGTATTGCAAAGCAATCTGTTCTGTACTTTCAAATAAAGTGGTTGGTTTTCTAGTAAATGGACAAATAATAATACTTTTGTCAAATTTGGTGTGTATTTGTATCACTACTGTAAATATATATATATATACATATACATATATCTCTTTCTCTACAAATGCTCCAGAATTCTGCTGTGTCCCGTTCACTGTCCAGACCTCCAGAGAAGAGTCAGCCAAATGTAATATGGGATGTTTCTGGTGAACTGGATGCACTGCGACGTGAAGTTGAGACAGCCAAGAGAAGACAACAGGCAGCAGAAGAGGAGACAGCACGGCTTCAGTCTGCCCTGAGCCGTAAAAACCGAGAGTGCCAAGAACTGGCTCAGAGTAAAGACACCATGCAGAAACAGGCTGACCGGCAGGTTCAGACTCTTGAGGATGCCTTGGGGGATGTCCAGAAGAGGATGCTGGACTCTGAGTGTAAGGTCAAACAGCTGCAAGCCCATGTAGTCGCTGTTAAGGAGCACATAGGAGGACAGGCAACAGAAGAACTGCGTGCCCAGCTCCAGGATATCAAGGCCAAGTATGAAGGTGCTTCAGCTGAAGTGGGTCGTGTTCGTAACCGGCTCAAACAGAGTGAGAAGGCCTTGGAGGAGTACAAGTCCAGTGAAAGCCAGCTTGCAGCAGAGGCCGAAAAGATGAACCAAGAGCTGCGAAGTCTGACAACAGAACGAGATGAACTTGCAGAAACCCTTTTAGAAATGCAGACACAGTTGAAAGAGGCCCAGACTAAGCATATCAACACAGTACCAGCTGAGAAGTTTGATAACATGAAAAACCTGCTGACCAATGCTGTTGACGAGAAGGAACGACAGCTTGCTGAGCTGAGGGAAGACTATGATCGTGTGCTGGAGGAGGTGGCAGAACTCCATCGAAAGCTGGACAGTCCGTCATCCCAAGGAGGATCAGGGGCGGTGTCTGCTGAGGAGCAGCAAAGGGTACGGGCAGCTCTTGAAGAGCAAAATGCTTCGCTCAAAAGGAAACTTGTGGATGTGACTTCCAAAAGCCAGGCTCTGATTCATGAGGTTGAGCGGGGTGAGGAGGAAAGAGATATACTGCGAGAGCAGCTGGATGAGCTCAACAGCAGGATTGAAATTGACTTTATACCCATAAAGGACCACAAGGAGGCACAGAAGAACATGGTAACGGCTTTGGAGGAGCTGGAGGACAAACTAGTGGAAGCCAGTGAACATAATGGAAAAGCAGAGGCACAAGTCCAGCAGCTTCAAACCGAGAAAGCCAAGCTGCAGGAGAGTATAAGCAGTCTCCAAAGTGCCAGCGAGAGACACGAGCACGAAACGGATGCTCTGAGGTCTCAGAACGTCAACCTGATGAAGAAGCTTGAGCTACTGCAGAAGAGAGGTGAAGACAGAGATAAAGAATTTGTACAACTGACCACAGAGAACCAGACACTGAAACAGAGCTTGGATGGAGAGTATGTTCCTAGACAGCAGCACGAGCAAGTGAAGATGGAATTAAGTTCCACCTTAGAGAGTGTTAAAGCTGAGATGTTGAAGTTGAAGACCAAGGAAGAGGAAAGTGGAGAAGAACTGAAGAATGTGAAAGAAGGAAATGTTAAGTTGAAAGAAGAACTGGAAAAAGTTCTGTTGGAGAAGAAAAATGACTATGTAAGCATAAAAGACCACAAAGCTTTCATAGACAAACTGAATGCTGTTGTGCATGAGGCAGAGAACAGAGCTAAAGAAATGTCAGCAATGTATACGTTGGCCCAGGAGGAAACAGTAAAGCTTACTCAAGAGTTACAGGCCCAGAAGCAAGAACTTGATACTATACAGGACGCTATTCAGTCCAAGTTTATCCCCCTGACAGCGGCTGAGGAGAAGGAACACACTCACAGCGCCCAGGTAAAGGAGTTGACAATGAAGATGCTGGAAATGGAAGATAAGTATAACAAAGAGAAATCTGCCAGTGAAAGCATTAAACAGGAGAGAGAGAAACTACAACTCAAGATTGAATCTGTTCAACAGAGATTGAGCACCACACTGGTTACCAGTGAAAAGCACAAGGAAGTGGAGAAAGAGCTTAAGGCTCGTGTTGAGGAACTGACTCAGGAGTCGGTCAACTTAGAGCAGCAGAACAAAGAGATTACACTTCAGAAAGCTGAACTTCAAGACCAGAACGCCCTCTGCAACACTCAGATCCAAAATCTGCAGGAGCGCCTGAAATCAGAGCTGACTCGGATAGCAACATATGACATTGAGCTTCAAGCCCTCCATGATGCCATGCAGCAAGCCCAGGCTGATTGCAAGAAAGCAAGAGAGGCTCAGCAGGAGGAGGCCCAGAAGGTTTGTGCCCTGCAGAAGGAAATTCAGGAATGCAGCAGTGATCAGGCCTCTCTGCTCCAGCAACACGTCAAGGAAAAAGAAGCCCTGGAGGCTGAAGTTGCAAAGCTTCAAATGGCCCTCCATGAAGAGGAGGAGAACAGTGCACAGAGGGCTGAAGATGTATCTGCCCTGCAGTCTGAGCTCCTTCAAGCCACACAGGCTCTTGAGGAAATTCGCTGTAAGGAAGACCAAATGAACCAGCTGAAGAAGGAGAAGCAGGAGCTGGAGGACAAGGTTGGCAACCTGAGCAATAAGCTGCTGAGCTTAGCAGAAGAGTGTGAAGTGGCCCATCAGGAGGCTGCACGAGCAAGGGAGGGTGAGAGTAAGGCCAGGACGGAGATGGAAGCTGTCCAGGAGAAGGGGCACGCCATTGAAAGAGAAATTAGAGAGTTGAAAGGTAGATATGATGAGTCACTCAGCACCATCTGTGATCTGCAGAGGAGGATTCGGACGTCAGCGCAGCAAACTGAAGCCAAAGACAAGAAGGTTATACAGTTTGACATTATAATAGAATTCTTAACAGACCTTTCAGTGCAGAGTAATGGTCCAGGCATTATGTGTGTTTGACTGTGGCTCAAATGTGAATATTGGTGTGTTTTGAGTCTAATGAAAGAGAACCTGCAGCGTGTATTTCAGACATTTCTAGAGATAAGATTCTTTGTTCAGTATTGTTATGTAGTTGATAAAGTAATGAAAATGTGTGAACATTGTTAATACTTCTGCAATACTCTGTCTCAGATCACAGAGTTGCTGACAGATGTTGAGCGATTGAAGCAGGCACTGAATGGTCTGTCCCACCTGGCATACAGTGCGCCCAGTAAGAGACAGACACAGCACATCGACACACTTCAAGTCCAGATAAAGGGCCTACAGCAGCAGCTGGCTGTGAGTATACACACACACACACACAACATATTAAAATATTCTTTCCAGAAAATTCTGAAGGTACAGTAATGGCCTTTCTGTCAGTAAATGGCTGAAAAATAACTGTAGGAGTTAATATGATCTTCAGTTTTATATTTTTACGCAAGTTTTCTTGGCAAAGTTAATCCAGCAACACTTTACCTTCACAATTCTGAATCTCCTTTTAGATAAAGAGTGCACTAACTTCTGTTATATTATCTGTTGTGTTATGTGGTAGGTTCATAGAACAAAACAAATGCCGATGTGCAGTATGAATGTGATGGTACTGTGTACCCCTTTTACTTGGCGAGTAGATATGAAAATAAGAATTCAACATCTCCATTGCTGTAGTGGAATGTTACTCTCCACTTCTTGCATGTAGCATGTAGCTACATTTACAAAAGCTCTGGGTGCTGGTCTTATCCAAACATTTTAGTTGTAGCTGGAAGATGTTGCACAATATGGAACTAGATTTCAGTGACTGCATAACTTCAGGTTTTTCAGCGCTGATCAGCAGGGGCAGATCTAGAACATTTTGGATGGGGCACAGACTCAGAGAGGGGTGGCACATTTAAAATACATGTAGAAACTATAGCCCCTTAGACACTGCCTTGCCTTTTTGAGGCGGGATTGGTACGCCTTTATTCTGTCTCGTTTTCTGTGTGGCCAGTGGTGCCACCCCTGGCCATCTTTTGGCTCTGCCCATGCTGATCTGCTTTTGTAGACATGGAAGCAATAACCACCGTGTTATCTTTGTGACCTTTTCCCCTCCCTTCTGCTCAATAAGGATGCTGAGAGGCAGCACAGGGAGGTGGTTTCGATTTACCGAACTCATCTTCTCAGTGCAGCACAGGTACGTTCCTCTCATTCATCTCTGTTAAGGTGAGGAAGTTTTCTATTTCTGCCACTAATCCGCACATTGTCTACTGAGAAAGTTTATAATTGCCATCAATGGACTTGAGTAAAATTATTTAGATTCTGTTGTTCAGTCAGTTTTTGTTTACTTTGTTTTTGTTTATATTTTGTTTAGCCTTACCTTATTTTACTTGGACTCTGTTGTTCAGAACACTTGATTGCATAAAAGAGACTCGTTGTTTGGTATAAGCTAATTTGAGTCAAAAAATACATTTTGGTAATAAGTGTGTTTAAATCAACTATTTTATAACATCATGGATCACAAAGAACAACTTTGAGCACTTTGTCACCATCCATAAGCACAGGGTAAATCATACAGTATGTTTTCCTTGCAGTAAAATTTTGTGTGAAAACCTGCCAATTATTCACAGCAGCCATTGCAAATGGACTGGGAAAACTGTAATGGTTTGAAATGCTGTGGGAGCAGGCTACAAATTCTTTTTTCAAAACAGGTAACCTCAAAAAGACAGAAATGCTACTACAAATTATGGACCGAGCCAAGTGCAGATGTACACAAGTGCACAGTAGCTGAGCCGAGGCTCAGAACTTAGTGAGAAATCCGCTTTCCGTGGTTTCGCTGACGTCCTGATTGTTTCTCTCACAGGGCCACATGGATGAGGACGTCCAGGCCGCCTTACTACAAATCATCCGCATGAGACAGGAGTTTGTGTGTTAAAGGTTTCTCTGATGAAACACGATGTTACCTGCTGACTCAGATTCACCTTTTGCCAAGTGTCTCTGCTGTGTGGCCCCTGTGGGTGCTCAGTGTGGTGGTTGCATGTCTGGTGTTCGGCAGAGTTTGTCAAAACAGTCTGTTTTGAAATCCATTTTGTTCTAATATGGTGGCACTTTGGTTCTCAAGCATCTGAATCTCAGTGTTGTGGGTACAGTTGAACAACTTGGTTTTAGGTACGAATGTGTTCTTTCATCTTCACTAGAAACAAAGCAAATTAAAAGTTAATTTACATAAACATACTATTCTGTCAATTCAGACAAGGTCCAGCATCAAACTACCCAGTGAAACCAGTCGACCTATCATTTTCTTTATTCAGTTCCTGGTAAAGTATATGAAAATGTGATTTAATACATTTCTGTCAAATCTGTTGCAAATGATAAGGCAGATGTCTGCATTTTTTGTGGATTTAACCGATGATATTTAGTAATTTGGAAGTTATTTGAATTGTGGGTCCCTTTCATAGATTAATCACTCTTGAAATGCTGAGATCACTTTTCACATTCCCACCTGACAGTCAGCTCTCATACACTGTTTTCGTTCTGTTATAGCACATTTGAAGGGTGTTCACACACTTGTTGAAGTTGACATTAATAGAATACTCAGATGACCATATGTACTTTGAAGGATTTACACTATGATCAGATTAACAGTTCTTTACAATCAATTCTTGTTCTTTTGATAAAGGGATATAACCCAGTAAATAAACAAGTTTTCAAACATCCGGAATCTCTGATCTGCTCTAGAGGAATTTAGTTTAGGCAGTAGAGACACAGCTAAGCTTTTTTCACAATGACATTTGTGTTTTCATTGTGGGGGAAAAAACTTTCATTTTAGTCTGAAATTCCCTTTTGGTTTCCCAGCCAGTGATTCCTTGCATCAAAATCGTTTCTATGCTAAATAAATTAACTTAAGAAGATACTTTTAACTAGCTCTGGTTGCTAAAGCCTCATATTGGCTTTTATTAACCTTGGAGCTCATTTTTTGTCTGTGCATTTTGTCACCCATCTTTTATACTGGAATAGCATTAAAAGGGAATCTCTTCACAGCCAGGACAGACAGGACTTTACATATGGGCATGTGAGTATAGTGTTAACACAGAGTTGACAGAGGGTTAACCTATCCTTTACCTTTGTTCATGTCAGAATGTAACTGGAGTGTTAATTCAGTTACTTTCTTGAAACATTTGAGCCAGACATTACTCATTTTGTGGCACAGTTATCTTCTGGAGGTCCAAACTAGCACACCTGTTTTCAGAATAATCCAACAACCTGAAGTTCATCCACATCTAAAAGCCACTTGCCAGTTTGGTAGTGGGTAGACAGTTTGTGGTAGACTTAGTAGAGCTCTCAGTTGTCTCTCACACAGTCTATTTACATGGGTCTGTGCATTGGTTATACTGGATTTGAGGTGTGGAGTGGAGAGCTGTTGCTGTGTCCTACAGTTTGCAGTGGCACATTGTCCTTTTGTTGAAGCCAGAGTGTCCTCTAGTGGTGAGACTTGGCAGGCCAAGTTGATAGAAAATGTAATAATAATCTGTGTGGCCCAGGGGTAGGCAGTTGTTGTTTTTGGAAGCTGTAATATCTGCATCCTTGTGCTCAACACTAAGGAAATTAACTATAAATCTTAGACTATTTAGAGAATATGAAATTTGAATGTAAAACTAAATTGAAAAAGATTTCTCTTCTAATATCTGTTGCTTTGCATTACTATATTTAAACCAAACCAATTTTTAAAGACAGAAAATGTCCCAGCTAAATCTTGAGTTTATATAAACCTAATTTATGCAGCAGTGAACCTTACAGCTTTCCTAGAGCAAGGGTTGCATACTCCTGAGTCACCTCTTTGTGACTCTTGATGGTGTAGTGTAGTAGTTGTGATTGTTGAGCGAGTCTCTTATGCCTTTACACTGATATATTTTTCATAGCTTTGTACTACTTTAAAGTAATACAGAATTCTGGTGTACAGCAGGTCTGGAAGTAGAATGGCACAAAACCCGTTCAGGCCAACATTTACTGTATGATGCCATTTGATAAGAAGAGATTTATAGCTCCCTCAATTTATGTGGATAAACAACCCCCTCAATGATTAGGTATTTGAAGTTCTCCAGTCTTTACCTTTCAGCTAACACACATCAACAAATAAAACTTTAGAACTTTTCACTCTCTATTATATACTTTGGCCAAAAACTCAGTTTACGCCAACATACAGTTTTTGAAAAACCATACCTGTTGAAGGTTGTTATGCAGATGTTAGGGGTTAACTTTTTTTTTTTTTTTTTTGATGTCTCTTACTGCCTGTCCTCTACCGTTAATGCAGACTAATATACTAATATTAACACAGACAAATATACCAGTCTGTTTAAATTGGTTGTTTACTTTAGTAAGGATATTTGTGTTTGTGAAGCAGTAAAACAAAATCAATAAAAGTGCCTAACATAGAAAACTACCCTCTTCTGTATTTTGCCATCAGTACATGAAAGAACCTAATTAGCCACTCTAATGAACAATCATAACTATTAGATGGATTGTAATGAAGTTTTGTAGAGACCCGATCCCAGAAGGATAACCCCTGATGACTATGGCACTCATTTTCACCCGTGCTGTGAAAGATCTCACGTCTACTGGAAGGATTGGCACAAAAGCATATACAGATATTTGTTGTTGAAGCTGGTTTAAGTAATAATTTATTAGAAATTTTAAAGTTTAATCTACAGTAGATCATCCTCACCATCACTATGCCTTGGCACTTGTGACCCTGACACCTGTTCACTGTTTGTCCGTCCTTAGACCACTGTAGGTAGGTACACAGACCTGGAACACCCAGCAACACCTGCAGTGTGGGAGATGCTCTGACCCAGTCTGACCTTTGTCAAAGTCACTCAGATCCTTACACTTGCCTGTTTTTCCTGCTTCCGACATGTCAACTTTGAGGACTGAATGTTCACTTGCTGTTGAATATACCCCACACACTGTAACGAGATAATCAGTGTTATTCACTTCACCTGTCCGTGATCATAATATTATGGCTGATCAGTCTAAATACTGACAGGATGAAAGTAACGATAAACTTCATACGGTGTCCTGTGTAGTGTACCCAGTAGGGGCTGAATAACTCTGCATCTGAATGGGGCCAGGGAAGGTAAACAGTATGCTAAGCCCATTATTATACACAGCTTGTCTCTATGGCAGGCACCAGAGATGCAGATAAACAATCTGGGAACAGTAGGTCATAAAAATGACTTGCTCCTTCTGCCAGGAGTATCTCCTGAATGGGCACAGAAGTGTGTGAAGTGGACCTAATGTACAGGGAACCACTCTGGCACTTCATTAAGCAGTAATGACAATACCAAGGTAAGCTGCAGGGTTGGCATCACAAATTTTTGTTATACAGTATAGTCTGATAGGGGGCAGTGGTCCAGTAAGGGCAAATCTGGGAGATGGAAAATATGCGCAAGGTGTTTTCATTTCACTGAAAATAATATTGTTTAAATGACAAAGTACAACCAAAGCTCATTTTGATCATCTTCAGCTTTTTAAATTAATTCTTGATTTAAAAATGTTGGCATACTAACATGCTAAGGTGGTGGACATGGTAAATAAATATCCTCAGCATGTTAACATGCTGATGTTAGCATTTAGATCAAAGATCCATTGTACATAAGCAGGGCCTCTTGGTCTTGAAAAAAGAAAAACACATTAATATAACCTTCAAGAAGAAGTCTGATCCTTGGTTTGATTTCTTTGAGAAATACTTGCAGCCCCCCCTTCCCCCTCTCTCATCATCCTCCTTCCTTGGCTTTATGATTCTCTTTCTTGTGGTCTGCACTGAATAAGCTCTTCCCAGCAATTATGGCAAATACAATTTGATCTGTTTGTAGAGCTCTCTTTAATCTCTTTTCCAGGGTCATAATCAGTCCCATACGTCCACTTGCGGCCATTTGTTTAACCATTGTAACCCCTTTCCCAGCCGCAAAGAATCCCAGCTTTACAAAATGCATCATCCTAAGAAGTATCAGAGATGTGATTTACAGTATGTTGGAATAAGCCCTGGCCTTGCACCACATGCCTCATGAGTGGCAAACTGGCTGACGAAGTAGGCGGGTGGTTGCATACATATCTGATACACACCCACATCTTTGCTTCCAGTCCTCTGAGCTGTCACGAACATTTGTTATCTCACAGAGAAGTCTGCCACCTCTGCGACTGTTCCTCCCGACACTCATTCCCAGCAGGAGTTTCTGCGCTTTGTTAGCCACACAGAAACCTGAGGCCTCTGCTTGTCTTACAGTGATAACGTTCTGTTGTGACTACCCTACATGTGAAATAGTCTTCTCAGCCTTTTTTCTTCTTTGCCCTCACTTTGATCATCTGTGTGGATATCTTTTTTTTTTCCCCACAGGGCCAGATCAATCTGTTTTGAGGCCCTGGGCCAAGAATTTACTGTTGGAAGCCTCTTGTCTCCAAGTGCCCATAAAAAAAGTACTCCATTGATTTAGCACCACACACCTATAAAAATGTTAAATTCAGAATGGACAGTTTTTTAAGTATCAATCCAGCAGAGGTTTCATCTTTATTTTCAAGATTCAAGATTTTTATTTGCTATTTATGCATAAACACACAGTCTAGGCATATAGGAATTCTTATGCAGCCAAAAGAACAAACACCTAGTCTAAATATAAGATCACCCAAGAATACAAAATAGTTGATAGAGATGCATGAGATTTTGCAATTTTTTTTCATCAGAATCTGGTGCCTATATTGTCCATAATACATCTCAGCTACTGACAGTTCTTGTATATTCTACCGACTAATGTAGCCAAGGACCAGTAGACTCGAGCAGTGATGAGGAGCAGTTTGCACACTCCTGATAACCTCTTCTTGAGGATGTTTATCTGATCTTGTTCTGCTTCCTCAGGAGCCATAAAAGGTTTTCTAAAAGTTTTTTTCACAAATGCAGTAGCACTCCCCAAGACCTGGACACGGGCTTTAATGTGTAAAATCAGTTTCCATTTAAGCACGGTGAACACAGCATCCAATAAATTGTAGTTTCATTATATTTTGCAGAAATCAAAATGTTCTTATACAAAAACACAACCTGACAGTTTCTGTGTGCATGTCTGTTGGTTTGTGGTAATTCATGCAACTCCATGTGAGTGCAGTATAAACTAAAATAGAAGTGTCAATCATAATGCAGGGCCCACAGGGGGTAACTGTGGCTCAGCAGATGGAGCAGGTCATCCACTGAGCAAACCTTGGTAGCTGGGTTTCCAGCATTGTCTACACATTGACGTGTCACTGGACAAGACACTGATCCCACCAGTGTCAGGCCGGCACCTCGCATGCTAGCTTGCTGCTATTGGTGTGTGACTGGGAAGTGAGAGAGAAATCAAAGTGCTTTGATAAAAACATTATGTAAATGCAGCCATATGATATTATACTTTGGAAATGTGAATTCCCTCCCAAATTTGCTAGTAATCAAATTACCAAAAAGGACAAAGTGGATTGTGAAATTTTCTGAGGGGCCTCTAGAGGTCTTCGGCCCTGGGGCAGCTGCTTGCTTTGCCCACTTATCCATTCTTTCTGTCCTGTCATCTATTTTCTCCTTCCATCCTGCAGTTTTACCTTTTGTCTCTCACCCTTCCTTCCCGGTCAGTTCCACAGGTCAGGCCAGTCAAAAGGTCTGCGCCATATTGGTCTCCCTGGTGTAATTGCAAACTATTTCTCTGTCACTAATAAGCCATTAATCAGGCTGTAGTGGCCAGCCAGCTTGTGGGCCTACACTGAGGGCAGCGAACATGAGGCCTGGGGCTGCTCTTTCTTCATTGGTCCCTTGAGGAACCAAACCAGTCTTGGCTCAGGCCGAGACGGACAAGGCCTCTTTAATGTTTTTTTTAGAGCTCCGGAGCACTTTGTTGCCTCACTAAAGTTCATTTATGGGATAATAAGGCTCTAGAGGACACATGGTGCTGATTTGAGTTGAATGGTTTCAACATGGCTCACATTCCCAAAGCCAGGTCTCATGTATCTGTCTGTTCTCAGTCTCTCTGTTTTTTATTTTGTTTCTTTCTCCACTTCTTACCTTCCTCTTGCTTCTCACCTCACAACCTCTTGTACTCTTTAGCTGCTGTCATTTATTATTCTTGTCTCTACACTTTGGCGGCATTACTGTCTGATCCTGAGTTGACCTGGAATTTGCACACCTGGGAATGAGTAGCAGCGAGGGGGCAGGAGGCCCTCTCATTTCCCAGGATTTATTCCAGAGCTTTGAGGTGGAAGGTAGTGGGGGTAGATGAGGGAAGAGGGGGTGATCAGAGGAATGAAAACCCTCAAGCTCCAAAACCTGGCATAAAGATCAAGTGGTACATGCCAAGACTACACCAGAGCTGAGTGCCCCGAATATTTGCCGAATCAAAGGCGTGGAAGTACATGTATGTGATACATGCATTAAACAGATTCCTATTCTCTGAGGATGGGTTAAACACACGCACAGATTAGAAACAGACACAGCTTCCACTTCTTTGGTT